CGCACGAACCGGAGCCTCCGTAGGATGGGCGGTGGGGGCTCGCGCCCCGCCTGAACCGACACTCTGGAGCTTGGCTTGCAAAAGTGAACAAAATATGCGTCGTCTCTGACCCGCTAAGGGTTTATATGAAGCATCTCTCCTAATCAAGGAGCTCTGAAGAATATGCAACCCAAGCGACCTGTTTTAAAAAGCAAGGTACCTTTGGTACTTGTTGTCCTAACTTTACAAGAGGAGCAAGTGCACTCCCAGGAAGGAGAGAACAAAGACTGGGGAGGCAGCATCGCCGTAATGGCGGTCCTGTTCACAACAGTGCCCTCCGAATGAAGGATTGTGCAGCTTCACTCCTAGTACACTATTTTGGAGTCTTTCTGCAACGTGTGTGGGAAAACTCCTGACAGACAGGCATTTGCTGCCCGAGATGCAAGCGGGAGAAGACAATGGTTAAGAGAAAAAAGAAGGCTGGCCTCTCCCAGACCTGCATATCCACTTGCCAGAGGGCTCAGTTTTTACACCTGTAAAGTGGGGGTGGACACCACAAACAGCACCTAAACTCTGAGCATTCTTGTAGGACTGAACTCGTTCAGAGACTATAGGCAGGCATTCTGCGTGCTAAATACCATTAATATTTAATGTTGATTTCTCTTCCATCATATTTTCCCACTTGCTATACCTCTTGGCTCTACAGATACTCGTTGGTTGGTTTGTTTTAATGGGAATACTGGGGATTGAACCCCGGACCTCGTGCATGCTAAGCACACACTCTACCACTGAGCTCTACCCCACACCCCTATAGGTGCTGGTTCTAGATATCTGATGCAGCACAATATTCACATAGTCGATCAACATACTCGTTCTTCATGATGTCATGAACATAGACCTCCTGGGTTTGCTGGTTTAAAAGTTTCAGAAGGAAAATGTCATAAATACAATGTCCACTCATCAAACCAGATGCTTTTCTGCAGCCTTCTCTAGGCCTGGAAATACCAAGACTGTGGAGAAGCTGTTTCTAGGAAACGTGCTCGTGGCCAGGCCGGGCGCTACTCGGGGATTAGACGACTGTGTGTAAGAGTTGTTTCCCTTCTTTCATCTTTTAGCAATTATGGGGCACCTACTGTGTTCATGGCATTGACGAGGAAATAGAGATGAATCATGAGGTCTCTTAGGAAGAAGATTATAACCTAGTAGATCTGGGTTGTACCTCAGGGTGAAATAAAATACTCAGATTTAATGAGATAAACTGAATCAACCAGCAGTCTTTCTGGTTTATTTTTAAAAAGATACTTTAGAGCATAGTGGGTTTTTAGGGCCATGAAAGATACTCTGTATGATACAATAGTGATGGTATGTGTCATTATACATTTGCCCAAACCCACAGAATACGCGACACCAAGAGTGAACCCTAATGTAAACAATGGACGTTGGGTGACGATGACGGGTCAATGTAGATTCGTAAGTTGTAACAAATGTACCATCGGGTGGGGGGTGCCGATAGTGCAGGAGGCTGTGCATATATGGGGGTGGGGAGACGCAGGGGTATATGGGAATTCTCTGTACCTTCTGTTCAGTATTACTCTGAACCAAATACTACTCTAAAAAATAAAGTCTATTGTTTAAAAGTACTTAAAACACATTTGAGCACCCTCAGTGGCTCCACCTGGACAACATGATTGCCACCATCACAGGGTCACAAGTTCAGTTCACCTGTTCTTGACACTAAAGAGTTCAGGAGTAGTGCCTTTGACATGTCCTCACTGCAAAGGTGGAGACCCCTGGGACAGATCAATATTACCTTTTGAGTTTCAATAAAAAGTTAAGACCCACAAAAGACCAAACTTCTAGAGTGCTGCCAGGCAGTAATCACCTATCCGAATGAAGTTTCTAGAACCCATCGTGTTAGGGGGATGTGGAGACCCAGAGAGGGTGGGTACTTTCCCCAAGGCTACACAGCTCATCGCTGAGAGCTAAATCTGGGGTCACACTTTCTGTGCCCATTTCCATGCACCAGCATCATTTCTTTTGTCAACATTCTGTGAGAAACGAATGTGTGACTGTTGCCAAATCTGACACTCACTGAACTCAAATGATTCCCAACATCTTGGCAAATTTTCGTTTATTTTTCCATTTGTTCATTTATTCATGAAATATACACTGAGTACCTATTGTGACCCTCCAAAGTGAGGGTTTCTCTGTCCTCAAAGAATTCACAAACCTGTGAAAAATGCTGTAGTTCTCAAGGCCACGTGACTTAACAAAGCCCGAGAGGGAGGTGAAAGGATGGTTACAATTCTGGGCATGGCCCAGAATTCTAATGGCTGAGCACCCTGAAGATACAGCAAAAGCCTCCAATTTCACAGCTGTAGCTGTTCAGGCTTAAAGGTCCACCGAGTCTATAAGCAGAGAAACTGAAACTCAGCAGTGCAGAGAGGCTGGGCTCTCTCCAACAGGCAGTGGCGGGGCCAGAACCCAAGGCTCCAACGTAGCCTAGGGTCCATTCCCACGAGAATTTGAGACCATGGCAACTTCCATATTGAGATGAATTTTAATATGAAATTGGCTGGCCCACAGTTAAGCTATAAAGATACAGCTTGTTACCTGGGGCATTCGTAGAGCCCAAGGCGGGGGGCAGGGGGAAGAGGGGGGAAATAGCGTTTCTTTAGCGCTCACTTAACTGTTAGGGTCTTCCAATCACCGCATGCTTGTCTGGAATCCAGCCCGGGTTTTGCACTTTGCTGTCCTAGGATGTGGGCTGCAGAGTAGAAGATTCCATTTGACCCACCTTAGGTGACACTGAATCTTAGATGACACTGGATGAGGAAACCTCTTTCAGACAGAGCCAGCATGTCCACTATCTTTTGGGGCCTTCTGCCTCACAAGTCAGCGCCTATTTTTCCACCCCAAACCGAAAGATTGCAGCTGAGGCCTGAAGGTCTGGGTTGAAAAAGCTGGGAGAATGGCCTCTCCCTACTGCCCTGGGAACGTGGGCTCTTCCGATGCACTGAAGACAGAGGCTCAGACAGAACCTGTCACTCCAAACCCTAAATCCTCTTTCACACAGCCAGACCTGCCTTTGAAAAATAAAAATACCATACTATATGTGTTCAGGTGGCGTGAGGATTTATTTTCCTGTTGCTTTTTAAAGCAGCCCCGATAGACCGTGACTTACTGAATTTTGTTCCATGCCACAAAGAATATTTGTATCACCATTTTGGCTTAAAAAAAAGCTGGTACATCAAGACCAAACGGCATGCAGGCAAAGCCTCGGCATCCTGGAGACTCCAGTGCCGCAGAGGGAAGGACCACAGAGGGGGTCCAGGAGAGGGGGCCAGCCCTACCCACGCCCCCATCCATCCGTCACCCTCGGGGCCTGGCTTCCCTCTCCCAGTTCCAAGTTTATGAGATTGTGTGGCCACCCTCCCATGACTTCCTTGTCCTGGGCAGTTTCTAGCTGCCTATAAATTAAACATCCTGCGTGAAAATACTATTTCACAAGCCTTTCTAGAGCTGATCAACCTCATGGAAAGGATACCCCTGGGAGCCAGCAGAGCCATCTGCTCCACGAGCTGACTTCCCAAATGACAGAACCTGCCAGCTAGTCACCGTGTGGACAGGATCTTAGCAGAACCACATCTGTAGGCGACAGAGACCTGCCAACCACTGACCTTGCCCCGGCCT